AGAGAAGGCCCCTCCTGTGAGCTGGAAAGTGAGGGGTCTTTACGAGGATCTCTCCTGACCCGCATCTCCAAATCAGTCCCTATCAAGAGAAAGGGGCCTTCGGATAGCCAGGCCTAAAGCTGTTTAAGGCTTCAAAGGACAAAGCACGCTGCTTAAATTGTACCCCCCACCCCAAAACCTGGCAGCCAGTCTGGGTCTTTCAGCATGACCCCGCCATGCTCCCGACGGCCACGCTGAAGCTCCCAGGGGCTCCCACAGAGTGAGCACATCCTGGCCTTCCTGGGATGCGCTCAAGGCACAGATAGAGGTTTCCGACCCAACTGACTCAGGATCCAGATGTTTGTTTTCCACCAAACAGATGCTGCCTGCATCCGGGCCTAGGAAGCCGCCTGGAATAACCGAGAGCGTTTGGCGCAACAGCCTTCTCCTGACTTGCAGCTTCGCAGGAACTTGCCGGGGAACCTTGAGTAGCCAGCCTGTGTCCTCTCTGGCGTGAGATGGAAAACTGGCCTACTCTGCAGGGTTGTGAAGGTTGGAGGAGAAGCCTCTTTCTGACCTTGGGTGCTCCACCAACACAAAGCCCTTTTTATCCAAAATTATTGACTTGGGTTCTCTGCAGATCTCGAGAGGGCCTCCTTAGCCGGTCTGAGAAGGAACCCCTCCAAAACCCTTCTGGGCCAAGCTTTTGGCGGGTCTCTTTGCCTCGCACAGCAAATGCACCGAACACACTTCCAGGGCAGCTGTTCTGACACGCAGTTTGGTTTTTTTCACCCATCACCGTCGGTTTTGGAAAGAGCCTCCAGATTGTCCTGAAAGCACGCTGAGAGCCTCAAAGCTTGCTTCCGAGATAAAGGCCCCAGAGATGAAGGGCAAACCCCGTACCACCTTCTCTTAGGGCGTGAACTTCCATACCTCCAAACATGGCAGTTCCTCTGGCAGCCACGTTGGCAGGCACAATCCCTTTACCTTCTGCGGGGGGGCATGTTGCAGACCCCACCAGTCAAGGAATTTTGGCTGGCGGGGTCTAGGAAGAGGGCCTTTTCTGCCGTGGCACCCGCCCTGTGGAACAGCTTGCCACCGGAGGTGCGGTCTGCCCCCATTCTCCTGGCCCTCCGAGAAAGCTATGCTTGGGGGCCTGATGGGGGCTCACATTGCTGGAATTGGCTGGTGGGGTGATCAACAATGCTCCCCCCATCATCTTGAATTGTATTTAGTCTTTTTATATAGAATTGTTATCAGCTAATTTTAGTATGGATATTTTTATTTTCATTGTTTTTACTGTTTTGGGTTTTCATCGTGAGCTGCCTGGAGTTGCCCTCTGGGGGAGATGGGCGGCATATAAATTTAACAAATAAATAAATAAATCCCACCCCGATTCTCTTGGGAACTGGCTCTCCCCTTTTAGCAAACGTTTTTGACACGACCGACGCTTTCAGGCTTTGCAGAGAGGGTAAGCAGTTGCGCAGACCTGTCGGAGAGTAAACAGCGGAGCCTCTCCCAGGCTTCGCACATTTCTTACGGTAGAAGCCTCCATGCAACAAAAATTCTGCAGGCTGCAATGAAGCTTGATCCCAAGTCGGTAGCTCTTTGGCTGGTGAACGTGTCTACCGCAGACACGTTGCAGAGAAGAAAGGTGAAATGCAAAATGCAGAGTTCAGGCGGCCGTGTGCATCTTTACAACTAGGAAAATGCAATACTTCTAATAGAACGTAAAGGTCCACACGCTTTTAGATTTTATGCATTTGGCTTGTTCATTGCCATAACCTAGAGCAGTGTTTCTCAACCTTGGCAGCTTGAAGATGTGTGGACTTCAACTCCCAGAATTCCCCAGCCAAGAGCAGGGTTCCTCAACCTTGGCAACTTGAAGATGTGTGGACTTCAACTCCCAGAATTCCCCAGCCAAGAGCAGGGTTCCTCAACCTTGGCAACTTGAAGATGTGTGGACTTCAACTCCCAGAATTCCCCAGCCAGCCATGCTGGCTGGGGAATTCTGGAAATTGAAGTCCACACATCTTCAAGTTGCCAAGGTTGAGAAGCACTGACCTAGAGCTTTCTTCAGGCAACATGGAACAAAACCAGCCAATGAAGGTAGATGTTGGAGGGTGATGGTTCTACAAGTACAGGCTTTAGCACAGACTTTCCCAAGCTGGGTGCCTTAAACAACCTCCCCCCCTTTTTTTGCAGAGGTGGGGTGGTCCAGTAGTGAGAAGGAAGGATCCAGCATGTAGCCCTGGATGAGTTGTCTTCAAGTAAAAGTCCATGGAATCTTGTAGGCAACAACTTGGAAGTGGTTTGCCATTACCTTCCTCTAGAGCAGGGTTCCTCAACCTTGGCAACTTTAAGAAGGGTGGACTTCAACTTCCAGAATTCTTCCAAGGCTGGCTGGGGAATTCTGGGAGTTGAAGTCCACCCATCTTAAAGTTGCCAAGGTTGAGGAACCCTGCTCTAGAACACTGTCTGGCCTGGGATCTGATGGTCTTCCATCTACATTAACCAGGTTTGACTTGCTCAGAATTCTGCGAGCAGCCAAGGATAGGAGACCTGCTTCCTTCCAGGTGTTTTCAACTACAATTCCTGTTAGCCCCAGCCCACACAGCCAGTGGCATGCGAGTGTGGGCCATCATCCCAAACTTCTGCAGGCCTAACCCTGCCTTAGGCTCAAGTCTGCGTCCTGTTTGCAAGTAGAGACCTGTTTCCACAAGATGTTCTTTCCCGTGAAGAAAAAAGGACCCGGAAGAGCCTTTGCCCCCAGATAAAAGCGATTCCACTCCAGCTTGTAAGAGGAGAGCCGTGATAGTCTATGGTAGCCCCAAATCAGGAGGAGTCTGGTAGCCCCTTTTCTGACTAGCACATTTTATTCAAAGGCAGGAGCTTTTGTGACCTGCAGCTCCCTCTCTCAGATGCACGGAGAGGCTAAACTGATGTAGGATTTAAATGGGGCAGGGGGGAGACCAATTCAGTAATCTTCTGCTCAGTTATATGTGCCACCATCTGCCAGCAACGCCCCTCTGGATTCTACGGAGGACAAGCGGGGCAAACTTTGTGCAAAAGAATTAATGGACACCAGTGTGACTTCCAGACTCAAAACAAGGACGAATAAGATCAGAGCATTTCAACCTCCCAGGACACTCCAGTGAGTGTTTTGGAAAAACAGGACTTTTAATTCTGCTGTTAAGTGAGTGGTTGCTGAACTCAAATACATGCAGGCTGGGGAATTCTGGGAGTTGAAGTCCACCCATCTTAAATTTGCTAAGGTTGAGTTAGCCCACGTGGGGTGCTTTTCAATACTCACTGGCTAACAGCTGTTAAAAATTCTCACTGCCTGAGTAAAACGACAACGATGATAATTCTGAAAATAACGCAAGTCTGTTAACGTACCTCCTGCTTATTAATACTTTAGGTCCAGAGCAATGTTCCTCATCCTTGGCCACTCTAAGGTTGGCTGGGAATGCTGGGAGTTGAAGTCCACACATCGTAACCTTGCCAAGGTTGAGGAACCCTGGTCCAGAGTCATGCACTGCCCTCTGCTGTCCAGATTGAAAAGTGCCACGGGGCAAACAGGAAGGGCCAAAGGTTCTACTTATGGAGACCACCGGAACGAAATTCCAAGGCCCTGCAGCAGGTGATGCACCTGTCTGGCCTCTCCAGCATGGTGTCTTCCTGATGCGTGGACCCACCACTCTCCAAATTCCCCAGCCACCTCCAAATTCCCCAGCCACCACTTAGACAAGACTGCATGAAACCCACACCCATAACAATTCATGCAATCACAATCACCCTCCGCTGCCACCCTTGGAGGGTGCAGCTCCCTCTCGGGCAGGACAATGGTAGGCAGGTGACAGGCAGGCTGGCTGGCACCCAGTTCTCCGACCAGCCCCTTGATGCCACTCTCCTGCAGTTGCATCCCTAATTCCATCTGCCAACAGTCACTAAAACTGGATGTGGACTGAAGTCCCCCCCCCCCGCACACTATTTACTGAATTAAAAGACGGGGAGGTGCAACAAGGGAGACCCCAATTAGAGACCAACACACAGACGGGGAAAGATTTCTCCAGATGGGTCTGCCGTTCTTCCTTCTCTACCCCGACTCGTGGAAAGGAGTGCCAAGGCATGCAAAGCTGACCCTTCTTGTGCCCCCGGGATCAAGAAGTTTATTTAACCCTAGGCTCCAGGACAAAAGGCGGGATATGCTTCTAACAAATAGAAAGAAATCAGCATTCAGAAGAGAAAGGATGTTTAACGGCCTTTTAAAGATAAAGGCTACAGGTAGCATCGATCCAAATTGAGCACATCTCAGATGGGTCAGCAGGGTCTGACCAGGTTCATGGTGGGATGGAAGACATCAGGAAATCCTTGGGTTGAGAACGAATTTTTTTAAAAGAAACATTCCCAGAGAAGACAACGGTAGATCACTTCTGTATTGTTACCCAGAAAACTATGAAGTCATGTCCACAAAATCATCAGGAGTTGAATTTCAGTCTAGGATGGGAGGCACAAAGTCCATTCTCTCTCTGAGCGAGTTGGAGTATCTAAGCCAGTGTTTCTCAGCCATGGGGACTTTAAGATGAGTGGACTTCAACTCCCAGAATCCCCCAGCCAGCCATGCTGGCTGGGGAA